AGAAATTGGAGACCCCCTCAGAAATTTGTTGGACTGTTCAAAATATTTCCCGTTGTGCAGGGGTCTCATTAAAGCCATTTTGAAAGGCCTGTGGTTTAAGCAGCTGTGTAGCAGTATGCAGATGTTGTTATGGAAGAATCAGCAGATGTCCATCTCAATCACATCTAGTGCACCTAAAATCCGAATAGATAAATCATCCACTGGCTCTCAAAGCAACAGGATAGATGAGTCATTTTGCCATGTTTGTAGGGGTCCTCCTCAAGCCTGAATTCGCCTTTGAATAGTCTTGGGTTAAAATTAGTCACGCTTATTCCACAGCTGATTGGAACCCAGATCTCTGAGGCTTATTTGTCGACCCACCCAGATTTCCACTGCTCTGGTACTTTCTGACAATGCAGCTCCCATCCTGTGAGGAGGCTGCAGCATTGGGTGGTGGTTATTGGAAACTGACCAGCACAATAGACTTAGAAGGAAAAAAAACAAAAATTGAGCACACAGATCCAGCATATAGACCAGCACTCTTTAAGGGCCTGATCCAAAGCACATTGAAATCAATGAAAAGACTCCTGTGGAACCAGGATCAGGTGGGTTTAGTGCTGTTACTGGTTAAGACTTCCTAGGACTTGTTCAGAGAGAGGAGGCAGGAAACCCAGAAGAAAATGTGTCTGAAACCAGGTTGGGAGGTTTCTTTGCTTGACTGTCTTGCTGCCGTGTCTGCTTGGTGCAGGGAGCTCTTTTCCATTCAGCATGAATGATAGTGGCCGTCCCTTTCTCTAAAGGCAGCATCTGGAACAGTAACTGCAAAAAGGCTGGGACCTGATCTAAAGCCCATTGAAGTCACTGGGCGTCTTCCCATTGCCTTTGGAGCAGGTTTTCCGATGCGGAGAACTCCTCTTCGGTCCACCTAGTAAACTGCCACTAGTTTGCCTAAAGGAGCTTTTCTGAGTCTTGGGTGCTTTGTGGGCCACTCGTGGAAAGCAAAGTCAGGGGCTGCCCCTAGCTCTCCGCATCATGGTGCTACAGAACTTTACAGGGTCCCTGAACTAGATTTCCGGCCTTGTCTCTCAGCCTGCTGCTGTTGACGGATGTTAAACCACAACACGGCGCCTTGACTAAGGAGAACGAGTTGGTGACTGGGGCCTCGCTCTTTCCATGTGAGTGGGCCGCCATTGACTTCATTGGGGTTCTACACAGGCACAAGGGTGGACCTGGGCAGATCCAATTGCAGGAGCAGTGCCCAAGCTTGTTAAGAACCTTTTAGTTTCCAATCCAGCTGTGCTGCATACAAGCCCTTATTGGCTTTGGCATTCATGTGCATCTGCAGGTTTAAAGACTGTTTCATTCCTCGGTGAGGAGAGGGCCAAATACTGAGACATTTTGTGGAAATGTAAAAGAGGGTGGGGCGGTCATTTTAAACCGATTATAATTTGAACGACTTGTTCTGTCATGGAAATGTTGACCCAAAATCCCTCTTACATTAATCACAGTAACATTCAAAAAGAAGTTTATTGCATCTGTGTATTTGCATTAGCAGTAGCATATAAGAGCCCCATTGCGCTAGGTGCTGTACAACTACAGAACAAAAAGATGCTCGGTGCCCTGGAGACCTAAGTTTAAGACGAGACGAGTGGTGGATATGACATGCAGGCAGGGGAGCGTGATGTGAGAATGAGGCAATATTGGTCAGAATGATAGGCTGTGGTCGCTGCACAGCAGTTGCCTTTCTGCGAAAAGCGAGAGGGCTGTATGAAAATATAGCAGAGGAGGGAAGGGTAGTTGCAGCTGGACCGTTGCCTCCGTAATGTACATGTGTAGTAGGACATATCAATACAACAGCCACTCCCACTCATCCTGGGAATAATTACGCACGCATGCAGCTTTACATTGCAATGGAGCTTGATATAACCATAGCTCGACAGTAACAGTCTGTCCTGTTTGTATGAAGGTGCCTTCTCCTGTTAAATCTACAAACAGATCACACACCCAGTGTGCTTCATTTAAAACCCCAATGATCCCCCAGGGTGGCTGGACAGAGTGATAATCTGAAAGGAATGTAGGCGTCTAATCGAAATGGAGAACAAATATTTTGTGAAGTGCCTGCTCCAATCCCTTGTGTGCTCTTACAGGCGCCTTGTCCTCCCATCTACATGCAGTCTCCGAACCTTTCATCACTCTCTCCTTTCTTAGCAAGGCCTGGCCCTCCTCTCCGGTCACACTTCTCATGCAGGTCACACACATTCTGATACGCAGACTAACACCCTCAACAATAAATCTAAAAGATTAATTAAAAACAAACCAACCCAGCCCTGCCAGCAGCACTGGGAATACATCTCGAATGCTCTCTAGATGGCTTATTCATGGCAAAAATAAATAACCTCTTCAGTCAGGCAATTGAGAATGCAAATATCCCGTGCTAATTCAAAAGAGAAATTGGGCTCTGGACTGGAGAGCTGATTAACATACAATCATGCAGGCTACTGCACTCTCGGTCTCGTATAGAATTTCAGCAGACCAATTGGCTACAACACCCTAGGACAATGTTTAGAGGCTTTCACGATAAACAGATTATTTTAATGTTCCATGCTTTATTGTGAATTGCCATTGTCTAGTCCCAAGATATGTTTTATTGTTCTCTGTCCATGCTAATGCTGACCGCAGTTACTCCGATGAGATCGTTCAGGTCTTTGTTTCCCATCAGCGACCAGATGGGTTTTTAAATTCACACTCCCTACTGCTGACAAAACAAAGATTTTCCTTTTTTCTTTTGTAAGCCGGGAGGATGGGAACAGCACATTGAAGTGGCTGCTTCTTCTGTCTGTTAAAACATCATGCATGTGGAGGGGTGGAATTGACCTTTTGCTGGGAATAAAAATGTTATACTTTCATATCTTTTTAACAAAAACTGTGTGTTTTCCGGTGAGAAACAGGGATTCTATCCTGATCCTTAGTCCATATATCAGCAGTAATATGTGAAATGCACTGTTCAAGCCTTACAGATTCACACATAATAAAGAATTGAAGCCTGGGACCTGCATGAATAAAAAAAAATAATAGTTCCAAATAATCCTCCCATATTGTTATCCCTCAATGAACCTTAAACCTCCTTGACTGTTGGCAAAGAGGGGAGCTAAAGTAGAGGAAATCTAATGATTTCCCATCGTATGATGCCCACCAGATATAACCTGTTACATGTAATAACTCCAATGTTCATTCACATTTGGGAGCTTATTATTTTTATTGATTTTAGTATTAAAAACGTCTCCAATCGTTTGGGTGCTGCATGTTCAGTAGAAACACTTAGGCTATGAGCTTCAAAGCCATCTGAAGGATTTGGGCACCCAGTTCCTGGCCATCCAAACCCTCCAGGTGACTTGGAAAACCACAGCTTAAAGGTCCTTATGGCAAGTCTGGATTAAAGCACAGGCACTATAGGCCCATACCTGGGATCCCAGCTCTTGGCGTTACATGAGATGAGAATCTTAGCGTTCGTTACAAATGTTTCCAGCCCTCTTGGATGCAAAGAAAAACTTGAAAATGTGATCTGATTGTCACTAATGTCTGTCTGAGTCTGCAGGTGGCATGAAACAGTAGCTCCAAGAGACGTGCTCCATTTGGCTTCTCTCTGAAATGTGCTAGCACCCTAAGGAGGGGGCAGGGCCGCAGGCTGGGAGCAGGTCTATGGGGGTACCATGTGAGCTGTGTGTAGGCCTCTGTTTTGCTTTAACTCAGCCCTGCCTGCTCCTGCAATCTGAAGTGTGTGGGCCGTCCCCTGCACCCATGTGGAGCGCTGTTGACTTCACTGGGACTCCATGAAGGTATAAATAAGGGTCTCCCTGTACAGATCAGATTGTATAATCAGGACCGTAGCTTTTACCAGCTGAGACCCTGATCCTACAATTTACATATGTGGACCCCTGAACATTGAGGGCAATGGGGCATTAATCATTACCTCTTCTGTGCCCATTTATCCATCTGAAGTAACTTGGATCATCCCCATAACTCAGACTCCTTTCTGGTAGGGATCGGCTAAGAGTTCAGCACCCAAACTGATCTTTTTAAAGTAATTACATAACCAGATAGAAATAAAAATGTTGACGATTTAAAAAAATATATTTCAGCAGAGTTTCTATCTTGTTTAAATCCAAACCATTCCCTTGCAAGCTCTGCAACCAAGTCCTAGCAGCACTGTGCTACTGTATACACCCCTACCCCAATATAACGTGACCCGATATAACACGAATTTGGATATAACGCGGTAAAGCAGTGCTCTGGGTGGGTGGGGCCGCGCGCTCCGGTGGATCAAAGCAAGTTCAATATAACGTGGTTTCACCTATAACGCAGTAAGATTTTTTGGCTCCCGAGGACAGCGTTATATCGGGGTAGAGGTGTACTTGAAACTAGCCTAGGGACACAAGCGGAGCCTGCCCAAGCTGAGTGCCAGGTAAAAAGCAAAGAGGCAGCTGAGGTTGTGAAAAGCGAATGATTTTGATAGTCTAAGGTGCTGGTAATGACACCAGTAAGGACATTTTTAACCTGACGACTTAGTTTTGTCTTCTGGATGTCTTTTAAACAGAAGAGCAATCCAAACGTTTTCTTTGTGGATTTGTTTCAGTTTAGTCGCACAATAATAAAGGCCCATCAGATTTCCCCAAACTTCTGTAGTAATGGCATAATCTAGCCCGCATGCCTCACAGATTTACAGACACATGGAAATTTCCATAAAGCTCTTCCATGCACAGCCCCATGACCCTGTCTCCAAAAACATCAATTCACTGACTTCTCTAACACCAAAGGAAAAAGAGTCTATTAAAAGCAACATTGATTACTCCAACAAAGCTTGCCCGATTAATTATTCTTAATAGCTAATAAACCTTGGACGCCATCAGTAATCTGACAATATTTTGGGTTGGGTTTAGAGCTAACGAGTTTATAATCTGGACTCCGTTACCTTTCCATTTGACTCATCCTGAGATAAAGCTTGGTGTTTCTTTTTCCTCCAGAGTGCCATAACTGGTGGGGACTAGACTGCAGGCAGAATGGTTCTGAGATTCCTGCCAACTGCTCTTGCTGCGCTGCCATTCAAAGCCTCCAGGTAGTGACTGACCTAGGACAATTATCAGAAAACCTCCAGAGGCCTCAGCCCCTCTTAATCAAGGTAATGCATATGTTTTTAACGCCAGAAGGGAGGGTTGTGATCATATCGTCTGACCACCTGCATAACACAGATCAGAGGATCACTCCCCGTGATATCTGCGTTAAGCCCATCATTTCTGTTTGCGCTACAGCAGCTCTTTTAGAAAGACATCCAGTCTTGGAGACTTAAAGTGATTGAGATCCCACCACATCCCTAGGTGAATTGTTCCAATGGTTAATTGCTCTCCCTGTTAAAATGCAAAGCCCAGATGGCCACCCCTGTTTGATGTGATGCCAGGAAGTGGAAATGGGAGAGAAAATAGGCCAGGTTAACGCTGCTGATCTTTCTCTTTTGCTGTTATTTAAGACAGGGCAGCGTCTGTCTTATGATGAACTGAAGCATTTTCAGTTCCAGTACCCGGAATTGACAGAGATCACAATAGAAGAGAATTCAGCTGAACTCTGGCGCTGCCTTCCAAGACAGATGTTTCCATTTGCCTTCCCCTGGTGAGTTGAGACAAAACACATGGAAGTTGCACGCCACCCTTTTCCAGGGGTGCCCAAGCTTTGCCCAGTTCAGAAATGTATTGATGACTTCTCAGGAGCCTGAGGGTTACACCTGATTGGCAAAGACAAGCTAGAAGCAGAATTTAGCCCACCTTTGCTCCTAATGGAAATGCAGTCCATGGAGACTGCTCGCCTCAATGCGGAATGCTCCATCCTGAGCCACGTGGAAGGCTGCTCTGATCAAGTTGGAGCATTGCATGCTGGGACTTTGTGTGCTGTTCCTCACATTAAAGATCAGGCTGAACTTGGGTCACATGGTACAATTTCTTGGGCATAATCTGATCTCAGTCCGAAGGAAACCATCTAAGTGCCAGATATAACTGTGTGGAGTCTTGAAGTGTGTTGGGGGCCTCAGCTTGTGTTGACCATGTCTGTGAGCTGTGCTAAAGCGCTACACTTGTCCAAGGCTTTGACACAGTACGGGAGCATGATAGGGTCCCATCTAGGGGCAACACCATATTTTTACAAACACCTTTCCACTCTGCTTATCCAGACTTCATAGAATATCAGGGTTGGAAGAGACCTCAGGAGATCATCTAGTCCAACCCCCAGACAGATTTTTGCACCAGATCCCTAAATGACCCCCTCAAGGATTGAACTCACAGCCCTGGGTTTAGCAGGCCAATGCTCAAACCACTAAGCTATCCCTCCCCCCAAGGTCATGGGACCTTTCTCAGAAGGGGGCAGAGGAAGGGAGTGTGAGCAAGCTCAGGGAAGGGCGTGATGCGTCTATGCTTTGGTTAATGCTTAGTGGGGTTCTTTTTGCAGAAAACACAGTGCTCCTTATCGGTCAAGAGTGATGTTATGATGAGTGATTTGGCTGCAGGCTACAGAAGGATTAATCATGTTAGTCCACCAGGCAGAGATTTAAAAATAACACCCCCACTCTGCCAAACTATCTTGTCCTCGCTGGCCTAGTGAATAGACTTGGATACCCTAAACCTTACATGTGTGGTTTCAGTAGGTCTGAACTCATGGACTGTCTTTTTGTTCTGTGTTTGTACAGCACCTAGCGCAATGGGATCCTGGCCCAGGACTGCGGCTCCTAGGCGCTACCACTACACAGATAGATATAGTTAATAATAATGTAAGGTGGCATCTCCCCATTTTGATAATGATTTTATTTGATTAACGATTTAATACAGCTTTTTCTAAGGGAAGGTAGGAAAGGGGACTCCTTAGACATCTCCGATGAAGAATGAAGCCTTTTTCCCCTGACTCATCATATCCTGTCTCCCGTTCAAAGATGCATCACTGTGTAAGGGAATGGTGTGACCAGGGCACAGGCCGAGGAGCTGGGGAATCATAAATTCTAATCCCAACTCGGACAATGACCCTGTGGGAGCAAGAGCCGTCACCTGGCTGTGCCTCAGTTTCCCCATCTATAAAATGGGACTAATAATAATATGTAGCTGCCAACCTCATGGGTGTCGGGAATAAATGTTTGTGAAGACCTTTGACATTGGACAGAGGCTATATAAGTGCTAAGTATTATTATAAAGTGATTCTTTAAAATGTTTTATAGGTACAAAGCCCTGAATAAAACTCAGATTCTCCAGGAACTTTTCCCTGCCTTGTCTTTGCTGGCATTCCCAAAGGCAATCTCCCTGGAAAGCTGCTTTCTCATTCGCAACCCAGAGTTAGGGAATAAGGTGAGAAATCCATCATGGGGATGCTTTCCTCTTTTGTGCAGGTACATGACTGGCTTCGACACAGGGAAGTCACCCATGTGCAGAGAGTCAGTGTAAGGCCTATGCACCACATGTGCCAAGACGTGCTCACATGTGGCATGGGATGTACGCTGGTGCTCTGCACAGGAATAAATTTCACCCACTAATGCAATCAATTGCTTTTCCCAAGCGCACTGGGAAACGGAGATTCTTGTCTGATGACTAAAGCATGGGCAATGCTAGTTGGGGTGGCTGGGTTTTGTTCCTGCTTCTGTCCTGCCTTACTGTGACTTTGGGGACCAGTCATTTGATTGCTCCGTGCCTCAGTTTCCCTATATGTAAAATAAGGATCTGACTTGGGGTCTGTCTACCCTGCAGTTAAAAACCTGTGGCTGGCCTGTGCCAGCTGGTTCAATTGCAGTGTAGGCGTTCAGGCTCGCCCTGGAGCTCAGGCTCTAGGATCCTAAAGGGGGGAGCGTCCCAGAGCTTGGGCTGCAGCCCAAACCCAAATGTCTACACCACAGTGAAACAGCCCCAAGCCCCGCAAGCCTGAGTCAGCTGGCACGGGCAGCTGGAAGTGTCTAATTGCAGTGTAGACACACCCATAGCTACTTAGGAGGAGGATTGTGAAGTTGGTTTAATGCAGTAGCTCCCAACCATTTTTTTGTTGGCACAGATCAGTGATGGGTGCTCCTGAGTGCATCCCCTCACTCTGGGCCTCTGCCCCGTTCTCCCACCTCTGGGCCGATTTTTTCCTCCTCCTCGTCTTGCTTGTTTTTCTTTGAGTGCGGAGGAGTGGTGGGGCTGTGCTGCTTTGTATAGCTGAATAGGGGGCATCAGCAGCCTTCAGGGTCTTGGGTTTGGTATGATTTCATATTGATAACCCCGTAATAAATAGTCCTCTAATATCACCACTGGCCTGGTTGAGCCATGCCCCGAAAGGACAGGGAGAGTTTTTGAAGCTCCTTCCTCTATATCTTTCCTCCTTCCTATCTGTTACAGACCCACAGACTGCACAGCATGTTTGCTATTGGAAGCGGCCAGCTAACCCTGAATATTGCACCTTACACTGAGTGCAGAGGACACTGCAGGACTCTGTCGGTGGAGCTGGAAGCTGGGGATTTTGGTGAGTTGCAGTGTTGCAGTGAGTAGCCCTAGGAGATCCCCTCCTGAAGCAGGGCCAGGCACCTGCTCCCAGTTTTGTCTTGTACCAAGTGCCTCCAACAGAGATGAGCATCTACTTCCAGCATCAAATAATTGCACCCAACCAACTGTGCCAAGCCTTCTTATGTAGTGGGAGAAAAAAACTACTCCCCAGACCCCTTTGAGGGCTCAGTTTATGACCTGGAGCAGAAGCAGCAAAATGCCTTGAGATACTCTGTGTAACTTTATGTCTAAGTCCTCATCTCCCACTGATTTCCAAGGATCATTTGAGTCTCCTTTCCCTTGAGGTCCTGCAGGCAGAGGAGTTTCATAGCCTTGTCCATGATCATTTTCTCTGCATTTATCGAGTCTCTTCTAAAGCCTTGTCGTGTCACGTTGCCGAAGACGAGCAGGGTCAGGTTAGGTGAGTGCTTAGAGAGGAAACCACTCAGGAATAGCCAGGATGCTGCAGGAAGTGGTGTGGATGACTTACTCGCCCCTTTCCCTCTGAGTCTGTTCTGATTGATGCCCTGACGCGGTGCTGCTGGAGGTGCTGCCTTGTGATAGAGATGTAAAATGGAGGCCCTGATCAGCTTCTCTTCTCTCTACATATTTATCACAGTGGGGTCTGAGCTTGTCCAGTGCAATAACCAGTCATGGGCCTGTCTCATGCTACTTCTTGTTGTGTTTCCCAAAGGCTATGCCAGCGCGGATTACTGGAAGATGAGCTTTAACTCCAGAGGAGCAGAGCCCATAGTCATTTGCGATGGATCCGCTAGCTAAGAACTGTGGGAGAGCTGGAGTCCACTCCAATGCGAGAAGAATGCGCAAGGGGCACAAGGAGATGGGCGTATAAAAGCGACGAAGCTGGTGCAGCTGAAACATCCGGGGAAGCAGCTTTGCCCACCCTGCCCACTGTGTGGGAGGCCTTGTGTTTCAAGCAACCGTTTCCCTGACCTCCGAGGTAATACTTCCCCTCCTCAGACGTACCTAAGGAGAGAGGCAGTTGAACCGATCACCCCCCTCAGGTAAGCCCTGGGGGTGCACACGTTTGTTTTCCTGAGTCCAGGCAACTGCATTTCTGAGAACAAGCTTCTCCTTGTGTCCTTTGTGACTATTGCACTGTTAGAATTTCACAGGGAGCCCCAGAGCGGGCGAAATCGTGACTGAAACCCTCCTTTACGTTCATCCCGGAGAGGTAACGTTGGGCTGGCCTATTGGGGCAGCTCTGTCAAGGGGACACATGATTGAAATGTTCCATGGTTCCTTCCCCCACGTCACAACCCAGTTCCATGCCCCACGAGGAGGAGAATGAGCCCCACAGCCCCCATTCACAGACTCAGGCCGGGCTCCATGCCACAGGAAAAGAATGGGCCTTACAGCCCGGCCACCACAAACAGCAGCATTCTTATACCAAATGAATCTGTTTAACCCTTTCCCCCCCCCGCCCCCATGTCTCGTCGTGATTGCTCTTCTGCATTATGGCAGCCTCAGAGTGTTGCTGGTTCCTATAAATAGTTCCTATGCTTTTTTCCTCCTCTAACAAAAATACTGGTGTGAATTTGGCTGTCCAGGTTCTGAGAGTGCAGAGAGCTTTGGTGAGAGCACTGCCTAAGCTTCCCCTTTCAGATCGATGAGTGAACTGCACTACCCCGCTCCCCCACGGCTCCACCTGGCTCTGACTTGGAAACCTCTGGTTACGACTTTCAAAAGTGACTAGTGATCTTGAGCCCCCTGATTCTCAGACAATACTGAGCACCCACCCTGTGAAAATCAGGCTCCCTTGAGGTGTCCCAAGTTGGCCACCCAAAATCACTGATCTCCTTTGAAATCTTGGCACTTGTCTACACTGGCGAGGCAAACGGCATCAGCACCTTACTCACAAATCTTGCTTGCATATACTATGCAGCTCTTGTTTGAAATGTGCTGGCTTGCTTTCCTTGGCCAGTATGGGAAGGACCTAAATGAGAGCAGCTTTTAGGATCTGGTTTACCTGGAAGTTCCTTCTTCCCTGAGTTATTTGTGTGTTAACTCCTTCCAGACCCCAAAGCTCCATCTCTCTCTAGAATGAATGTTGATTTTTTTTTTCCTGATTCCCTTCTGAGATTCCTCTGCATGTTTCCTGTTGCTTGTGTGCTCCCTTGTCCGGTGCCTTTAGAGAGGATCAGTTTCATCATGTGCCGGCTGCAGTTACAGCCGTTCCTCCCAAGTCTGATCCTAAGGGTCTTTGTTCCTGCTGTGGAAGATGGCTTACAGATATGTCAGACTGAAGTCATAGCCCTAGGCTGCGGTTCAGGACAGTTCGTATGGTATTGTGAGAGCCTCTTTTGTTTTGAAGCAAGTTAATCATGTTATGAGACACAAGAATCTTTTAGTTTGTAAACATCTTCAGGTCAATTAAAATAACGAAGTGGAAAGATTTCATTCCACCCTCTTGCAGTTTTTTAACAACAGCTGGAAAATGGGTGTGAAGCTGCTGCTGGTATTTATTAATCGTGTTACAGTAATGCTTAGAGCAGGCCTGCACAACTCGTAAAGCGGCGAGGGCCATATTACTCCAAAGAAAACAGCTGAGGGCCGAAACCCCCCCAGCGCTGCCAAACCCCCCCACCCCAGCGCTGCCAAACCCCCCCACCCCACGCACCACCCAGCCCCCCCCACGCACCGCCCGCCCCCGGAAACAACCCCCCCAGCCCTGCCGAAACACACACACACACCCCCAGCGCCACCTGCCCCGCGGAAACAAATCATCCTTCCCCAGCGCCGCCCCACCGAAATAGCAGTATTGAACCTCAGTAATTTGTTATAGCGGGCCCCTAAGGTAGTATAATTAAGGTAAAAGAAAAATGTCTTTTTGCTAGAAGTAGAATAAGATCTTCCCCCCACTTTGTAATCAATTACCCTGTTGAATGAATGAGCTGTGAATGAGGAAGACGTGGAAGGCAGGCACCTCCAGACAGCTGCAACCCTTGGAGAGGGCAGGGTCGGCTCTAGGATTTTTGCCGCCCCAAGCAAAAAAAATGTTGGCCGCCCCCGCCTTTTTTTGTGCCCCCCAGGCCCGTCCCCGTCCCAACTCTACCCCTTCCGAACCCCTTCTCCAAATCCCCAGCCCCGCTTCCTCCCCCGGCGTACGGAGGTGAGCTAGGGTGGGGGAGCGCAGGAAGTAACGGGGTGTAGAGGAACCACTCCTCACTCCAGCTCACCTCCGCTGCCTCCCGCGAGCGCCCCGCCGCTCGGCTTCTCCTCCCTCCCAGCCTTGCTGCGCGAAACAGCTGCTTCGCGTGCGGAAAGCCTGGGAGGAAGTGGGGAGAAGCGAAGCGGCGGCGACGCGCTCAGGGGAGCAGGCGGAGGTAAGCTGGAGTGGCAGGGCACTTTTTCCCCATGCCCCGGAGTCGGTGCCTATGATGGCCGGCGCCAGAATGCCACCCCTAGAAATGTGCCGCCCCAAGCACCTGCTTGTTTTGCTGGTGCCTGGAGCCGGCCCTGGGAGAGGGGATGGGAGCCAGACCAGATCAGTAGAACAGGTCAGCCACCGATTCGCCGCTCGCCTCCTCAGCCCCCGCCACTGCCCGCTCACTCGCCTCCTCAGCTCCCCTCCCTCACCCGCCGCTTGCCTACTCACCTCCCCCCCGCGGGCCGCACAGTGAGCCCACCTACTTAACCCCCGAGGGCTGCATAGTGAGCCCACGCGGGCTGCATGTTGTGCAGGCCTGGCTTAGAGGTTCCAGTCCAGATCAGAGCTTCATTTTGCAGGGTGCTCTACAAAGCTAAAATAGAAGACAGTTACTGTCCCAAAAGAATTTATAATCCAAGGGCACGATCCTGAAAACACTTCCCTACATGCATAATGCTAATGAGTTATTCGGGGGGGGGGGAGAGGGTTGCAGAATCAGTCCCTAAAGAGGGAAAAGACAAAACAGGTGGAGTAGAACACGAGAGGGTGGGTGTTATTTTAGTTGGCTTTGAACAATAAAGGTCTAATTTAATTAGCAGGAAAATATCACAGGGAATTAGGTTAGTACAATTCCCAGTATTATTGTTTGCTAATTTTTGTTGGTGAGTTTTATACTAGTGATTGTACACACCCCCTACACTCTCACACACGTGTATCCCTCGGAAGGGCTGGATCCTGTGCAAGTTACCCTTGATTTCAGTGACACAAGGATCATGCCCTAAACACACAAATTAGTGACCGATGCTATTTACATTTTGGCAGCTTCGCAATTTAAATTCGGAGGCCAACAAGGTTACCTCATCAGCTCCCAGGTTTTTCTGTGCCTAGCTCCGTTTTTATTAAGCATTCAATGAGATATACACACAGGGAATATATTGGACTCAGTGTTGTTAATAAGATCATGAGTGAGTTAGTGCTGCTACTGCTTCTAAGTGTCCTTGAATGTGGCTTGTAAAAAGTTGCAGAGAAAATTGTCAGCAGTCTGTGAAATGGCTTTGTTTTGTGACCCACGTCAGTGCCAACACGGATCCCTGGCTTTATGGAAGGAGAAGAAATCAGCCAATAAGACAATCAGCTGTCAGGCTCTCTAACAAGCAGTGAGTTCTCAAGCTGGTTTATGTCTACTCTACACACGTGCTCCCATAAAAACAGCTTCTCCCCAGCTCAAACACAACTAGCAGAGTGTTACGCCAGTTGGAGAGAAGATGGTGAATCTGTCCTGATTGCAGATCTGCTTTCCAAGTGCACTTTTGGTCTCTGCCTAAGTTTCCAGAACTGTGTCTAGGAGACACAGTGCTCACATGTCCAAACCTCACTGCCTTTGGAATTTACATCATTTGTTTTTACACTTCCAGTATGCTTTCTCCTCTGCTTCCAAGAGCCGTAAGGAATTAAAGGCAGATTTAGCTGCTAAACCAAAACAGGAGGAGGCTGATTTTACTCTGCTTGTTAAGATACTGAAGAATCAAATGTGGCCCCATCAGCACTAGAGTACAAAGCCCTGGTGGTTTCTAGCTCAAGTCCATCCCTATCTCTGGCAGCTAGGGAAATAGCGTTAGCACCTTGCTGTGATTCAGTACAGGCATGGCTGTCGGGGTTTGAACTCTTGTGTAGATAAGGCCAAAGGAGAATGAGGCTGGTGAGTCTGAGATGCAGCGTGCTCCTAGTCAACGATTCAGCTCCTAGTCATAGAATCTCAGGATTGGAAGGGACCTCAGGAGGTCGTCTAGTCCCACCCCCTGCTCAAAGCAGGACCAACCCCAACTAAATCATCCCCGCCAGGGCTTTGTCAAGCCTGACCTTAAAAACCTCTAAGGAAGGATATTCCACCATCTCCCTAGGGAACCCATTCCAGTGCTTCACCACCCTCCTAGTGAAAAAGTTTTTCCTAATATCCAACCTAATAGTCAACACTTTCCAGGCTAGATAGTCTGATGACTGCCGGCAAGAACTGGTCCCATCCCATCTCCCACCCCATTTGTGTTTTGGGGCACAACTTCTCCCACTCAGAAAAGAAGCAGCATTTCCAAAGGCGGTGACAGGCTTGAGAGGTGGGGAAGGGCAATTCTATTCTTGCCATCTCCCAAAACCGAGGACTTGGTAGAGAAAGGGTTAAATGTTGCCCCAAACAGTCAGCCGGCTCCTATGGCTCTGGAGTTTGTAACAGAGTGGAGCGACCTGGCCATCTTCTCAGTTATTGAGGCATCTTAGCAAGTGGATCAGGTCGTTGATGCTGTATATTATGTCACAGATATCCATGGCCTCCAGCGTTGCCTGACATTTGTGGGCCTTTCTGCGTACAACATGTCTTAAACAGTCCCTGTGTGCGGCTAGTTTGACACCTTGCCCTGCTCTCTACTGCCATCTGCCAGGGGCACAACCCCATTTGCCCAGTTCATCCCTTTTTTGAAATTCACTGCGTGCCTAAATGTTTCGTGTATGAGCCTCCCTGAATGCCATAGCCTTGCAAAGCTGCTGTGAAAATTCACCAGTCAAGGCACAAAACTTGCTCACTTGCCCTTGCCCATAATAACCGGAGATAATGAAACTGTCATATCTTACTCACCTGTAAGGAAAAACTATCTGCTCCAGGGAAGGGGGTAGGTAGAACTTCATAGAGGCTGGTTTAAGGCCTGTCTCCAATAATCCAAGACATTGTCTATCCCGATCTCTCTGGTTTATGAACTCAGGGTGACTGAATGCAGGAGAAAGGAATCTGACTACTTTGCTAATTTCAACACTGGGAAACTAGGGGGATCTGAACACCCAATTCCCACTGATTTTTAATGAGAATTGTGCAGTGCTGCAAATCTAAACCTCCAACTCCCATTGCAAAACCCCTGGAGAGTTTTCTAGGGTAAGATCCTACTGGAGTCAGATGACTTTTGCTGCATTTACTAGCCCCTCTCTCAACAGCTGTTGCAAAGTGCCCACTCTCCAGATGGGAGGGGAGGGAGGTACTGGCTGTGCTGTATGGTGCACTTTGTCTTGGCATATGTCTACACTAATTGCAGCTTGGGTACACGTCCCCACGCTAGCTTTAATCTAGCTAGCACCAGTAACTATAGTGGTGAAGACATGGCAGCATGGACCTCAACACGAGCTAGCAAGGCAAGTACATACCCAGGGTATCAGGCGGCCTTGTACAGCCCACGTTGAAGTCCGTGCCGCCAGGCCTTCACTGCTCTTTTTAGCTGTGCCAGGCAGGTTAAAGCTGGCATGGATTTGGCTACCCAAGCGGCAGTCACACCTCTGATTGCAGCGTTAGATACAGCCTTAGAGGAACAGGGAAGAAAATCAAGTTACTGGTGATTTGAATGGTAACCGCGCTACATGGCATGAGGAAGACGAGCCTACTACCCTTTCTCACGCAAATGGACCTGCCTCACTGCAGTGGGACTGCTGTCATGAGGAAGGGTTGCAGGCTCGGCCCCGATCCTGCAGTGTGCTGGGGTGCCCTTGACTCCCTGTTAATTCAATGGGAAATAAGGGAACTCAGCACTTTCCAGGATCAGACCACAAGTAATGAGCAATTCCAGCAGCCTTGCTACCAATGAACAGAAACCTTTCACCTCTCAGAGAATTCAACTTTCTTCTCTTTGTATATTTCTATCAAGAGCTCTCTCTTCTCGTCTCTTCTCTTCTGGAATGCCTGAAAATAGGTATCTTAAAGGATTGAGGGACTGTCGTGTTGAGTTAAACATGGGAGGTGCTGGCCTTTCCTTTTGCTGTGCAGATTCCAGCAAATGAGCATTGATGTATTTTTAATGTTCTCTCTTTGAGTAGTGGGAAATGGAGGGTAATATGGTTAATTGCGACATATTACAAAGACTCAGGGGTATGCTGGGCAAACTATTCTATAGATATATGCATAAAGACTGTTGAATTATATACACTAGACATTCAAGTGGCTGTTAATGTAAATATGCAGTGAATTTTATGGATGATTTTAATTTAATATATTG